AGGGAACTCGAGGAAACTCCAGTAAGAATTTTTTGGTAGTGCTGCTCCCGAGTTGGACAATGCCCTTCCTTTAGTGCAAGCACAAGGAAACCCCTGACACAGAAATTGGTGTTTTGATCCCCTCCAACATTCAGAGAAGGAGGGGAGGATCCCATGGATCTCATTTGTGCTCTCCCTGTTCAGGAGGCCTGGGGGGCTCCAAGCTGAGTGCTCGGCCCCACGCTCGGGCCCTGGCCGGCCCTGGGGCTGCCGAGGCGTTGCCAAAGCAGGAGGAGAGACCCTGTGAGGGATCAGACTCTGAGGTGGGAGCTTCTGGCTTGAATGGCTTGGCTGTTGTAGAGAAGAACAGAAAAGTTGGTGCTCTGGGGTAAGGGTTTCTTCATTTTTCCTCTTATCTCTTTCCCCCACCTTCCCTTGATCTACAAAAACCCCACAATCTCCTAAAACCAGGTGCTTGTAGCGTGAAAGAGAAATTACTTTGAAGTTTACTTGGTTGCTGCTGTTCCCTCTGGACAGGAAATTTTGGGTTTATAACTAGGCTACAAGTTGTCTTTTTTATTTATTTTTTTTTTTCCATTTTTCTCTTACTGTGATCAGCTCTGGCTGGAGTCTGACACTTGGAATTGAAAGGCAGCCCAGATCTGCTTTCCTACTGTTCAGTACAAATACCCTCTAACTGAATATGCAAAAATACCTTCTAACTGAAATTTAATCACTTTTGATTTCCTCATTTAAGGCGATGTTTTTCACTCTAGCTCAATTTTTCAGCTGTTTCATGATAGTTCTCTGTTGGCCACCTAAACAAAGGGCAATGGAGTTTTCAGGGGTTTTTTTTCTAAATAAGTAGCGTCACCTTTTTAAGAAAATACTGAAACTTTTCAAGGTTTTTTGATTGATTTAGAAATATTAAAATGTTAAAAAAAGCTGGAAGTTTAAGTGGGAATGCAGGAGACTTAAACAAGGAGTAAAACTCAATGTGGCACTAGAAGGCTTTGTTTCCACAACTGAGTTAAGGTTGAATTTCTAACGTGGGGTTTTGTATTTCTCCTAAATTCTTTCCCAAGTTCAAACTCCAAGGGATGTCGGACGGAAGGAGCCCAGTCTGGTGGTCTGGAGAGCAGCTCTGAGCCTGGGGAGCTGCAGGGGATGGGCTCTGAAGGTGCCTCTGCAGGACCAGAGGAAGGTAAATTAGATCTTGTGGGGGGCAGGTGCAGCGTGGCCACGCTCCAGGTGCTGCTGCTCCGCCTCTGGAGCAGGGAAGAAGAGAAAACCACCCCCAAAAGCTGCTTCCATGGCTGTTGAACTTTGCTGTAAGGTGGCTGCTGGAGAATAAATCTGAGTGAGGACAGAAAATCTCTGTGTGGCTGCTGTCGGGGCAGGATCGGGGCTGGCACGTGGGGCCATCGCTCTCTGGACAAGCAGCTGCTTTTTGTGCCTTGAGACAGCTCCAGGACTTTGCTCTGCTGTTCTGTGGAGTGGCCTTGAGAAGAATTTCATATCTAATTAAAATAGTAGCCAGTGACCTTGCTGGTAATTCTGCTGCCTTCAGGGACAGCCCCCTGGGGTAACTTTCTGCACAGCCACACAAGAACCTCTCCAGCCCTTCCTTCGTGCTGGGTGTTGTGGTGCATAATCCAGTTTCCTTAGAGATTTAAAGGAAAGTTTTCCCCCTCCCTTCCTGCATCCTTTCCATGCTGGAAAAAAATACCACTGCTTTTTTTTTCCCTTATGAAAGTCCACATAGAGTTTTTCTTATCTTGCTAAAACTCTCCTGCCTTCCACCCCTGCACTAATTTGAATTTCAATGACTGGATTGTAGCGCAAAGCCTATATTAAGGTGCCAGCATCCATCTCGAGCTGCAGTGTGCAATATTGTGTGGGAGTTGGCATTTACAGAAGGTCTCTCAGTGACAAAACTGAATTTCTGCTCTTAGTCACTGCAGCGTGATCGTGATGTGCTCCTGCAGTTCTGCTCTCAGAGCAGGGAGCCCAATAGGAAAACGCTTTAGAAACTGAAATACTTCATTGTTAAAAACCCCAGGAAGCAAATATTACAATTTTTTTTCCCTTCAGAGGAAAAACTGCAGTAGAATTGGCCCCTCACTTTGCTTTTTCTTAGCAATGAGTATCAGCCTTTAAAAAGCAGAGCCAAGCAGGCTTTGTGTTGTCCATGGAGAGTTCTGGCTGCCCAGTGCATACCCAAGGTCATCACCTGGAGTTACCAGCAGCTCTGGTTCTGCTTTGGCGTCTTGTGAGACTCAAATGCCCTATTGCTGCCTGGTAGGTTCACCTGCCCCACGGGTTGTGCTGCCTTTTAGCTCCCAGAAAAGCAACTTTTACTTCCTGTCCCAGTTGTTGACTGAGCAGCTCAGCTGGTGACACACAGGACAAACCCAGCTGTGTTGAGGGCTGGTGCCCAGTGCTCTGTCAGACCCCTGAGTGCTTGGAAAGTGTTCCTTCCCTCTGTTCTCCTGATACCAGGTCCCAAGAGCTGGCAGGAACTCTCCCATGGACAAAGTCAGATATTTCAGCTGTGCAGATCCCGCTGCCATCATTTTGCCCTGGCTGTCTCTGGTTTCTCTTGCAGCTGGGGTGTGTCAGAAGCACGTCCTTCACCTCCTGCCAGGGATGAGCAGTGACAGTGACATCGAATGTGACACGGAAAACGAGGAGCAGGAAGATGCCACCTCTCCCTCAGAGGTGTTCAACCAGGCCTTCTCTGTCCAGCCCTCCAGTGAAGGTAGAGCTGATGGAGCCCCTCTTCCCAAACATTCCCAGTCTTCCCAGAGCTCCTCGGATACTGATCCCTGGGGGGGGGATGTGGAGGTGTTAAAGCTCCAAGTGCCAGTAAGATTTGGAACTCTTCTCCTGGGATCCCAATTAAAATAGCTCAAAACAGGAGAGGGAAACTCCTGCTAGCCTTGAGAAGTCAGTTTAGGTGAGTCTTCTGGGAAGGGCTGGAAAACCCAGAGCTCCAGTTCCCAATTGGAACTCCCTGTGTGCCAGGACTGGCACTGTAAGTAGGCTAATTCCAGGGAGGTAACCACTGCCTTAGACATGGATTTGCATCTTAATTGGCAGGAATGTGCTTCCAGCAGTTCAGTGGAGCTTCAGAAAGTCCTCAGGTTAAGCTTTCCCTTCCAATCCAATGGATTAAAGCTGTGAGGCCGGGGTGGGGGGGTGAAGTTTGGCCTGAGTTGAAGGGAGGGGAGGGAGCATTCCCTGTGTGCTCACTGTGTGCTCACTGTGTGAGGGTGACTGTGCTTTGCTGGTGTTGTTTTCACCCTCAGAGCACTCCTCGGTGTTACCAGATGGGGATCAGACCAGTGCTGACGATCTCAGCTTTGTCCCTGGAGATGACAGCACCAGGTAACTGGGAAGAGTCTCCTTGGGGCTGCACCTTCCCTGTGCTGCTCCAGGAGCTGCAGCCCCAGAGCCACTGCTCACCCTGTGCCAGGATCCTGAGCTCCCTGTGCCTGTGAGGCAGTCTGGGAAGGAGGGAGGGAGGGCTAAGCTCTGAATGATTCCAGAACTGACTGGGTTGAAATAGTTGGCATAAAATTTTATCTTGTAAGGTTGTGTTTGTTTGAAGCTTTAAAACTGCTCCAGCAGGGGAGTTTTCAGTGCAAACTTTGTTTGGAGCAGGTAGAGCACGGGCTCGAGGCCTGAAGACCCACGGCTGCATCCCTGGGAGAGGTGTGTGCATTCCCTGGAGCTGAGCCTGAGGCTGCTGCCCATGGCTGTGTGCCCTCTGCTCTGGCCAGCGTGGTTCTTCTGCCGTTGTCTCAGCCCTGCCCCCGGGCACAGTGCAGGCCTGGCACTGAGGGGTGGCACTGCTGCTCCACCAGCCTCAGCTGCTCTGAGGAGTTGTGGGGAAGGTGCTGAGTCCTGTCCTGCTGTGTCGCTGGAATGAGCACGAGTGTGTGACTGTCCTTTGGAATGCTGGGGTGGCTCCAGAGCTGGGGGAAAACAGCCACCACTCCAATTGTTTTCCCCAGTTGGTGACGCGGACCAACCACACCCATTGCCAAACTCTTCGTTCGTTGCATTTTGAGCTGCTAAAGTCCTTGTGAAGCTCCTCTGAGAGCTGATGCCTGGTTAGTGACAAAGCATGAGCCCTGTCAGTACCTGCCTGGTGTTGTCCTCGTGTGCCTGCGTCCGTGTGAATGTGCTCTACAACTCCTAGTTTAAAACTGTTTGCACTTTGTTAATAAAATGAATGTTGAAATCTGAATTTTAGGTGTTTTGTGTGTGGATAAGTAAAACGGTGGAGTCAGCTCCACTTGCTGCAACACCAGGCTGTGCATGGAGGGACTTTTTCCTGCCATCCACCTGTCACTTTCTTCCTTAATTATTCAGTGAAAAGCACTTAAATCCCTTTGGGATTCTATTTGTAGAAGCTACACCAAGTGCTTAGATCTCCTTGATTCAAGCAGGAATGGAGAAGGATGTGGGGTTTTCCCCCAAGCTGCTTTGTTACTCAGCTGCAGAGGGAGCAGATCCTGTGCCAGTGCTGAGCCTGGAGGGGGCCAGGGCCAGGCCCAGGTCCTGGAGGTGCCTTGTGAGTGTTTGGGGCTGTGGTGATCCCTGCACACAGCTCAGTTACCGGGGTCGGGGAGCTCTGCTTTACTCCCAGTGCGAGGCCCATGCTGAAGGAAATGACCACTGAGGCCCAGGGGCTGCTCTGGAGCTGGTGCCCAGCTGTTGAAGGGGTGAGAGAGGAGCTGTTGCTTTGCTCACCTTTTATGGAAGCTTATTCAGAGCTGGTTTGGAAAGAGCAGGGGGGGAAAAAGGGGCTTGGAAGACAGTGATCTCCTTGGGCTGTGCCATAACAGCCCCATCCCTTTTGGCCACAATGGGCCCTGAGCTTCCACATGGAAGCCAGAGCTCAACAGAGTAACTCCAGTTCCATATCCCACAAAGGAAACCCCCTTTCACCACACTAAAGGCACAGCTGCTTGCTGCCTTTGTTAGCTCTTCAATAACCAGACTAGCTGGAGTGTGGTTTAAATTACTGTTTTATTAAGATATTGGTAAAATTTCAACAGTTTTTCCTGTATAAACAGCTTTCATAAATAAAATATGCATGACTAATACATGGTTAGAACGAAACTCTAAAATGGAGAAGTCCCAACGCTTGTACATGATTAAGCTTGAATTTATTCACTTCATCAAGAACATGTTTCATGAACAAGGTGCTACAGAAAGGTCAGCAGGAGCACCCAGGAGCTGAGACCGTGCCTGGCTGGCCACGAGCAGCAGCACTCAGGGTGAGCTCAGCCACCTCCCCTGTTCTCGTCCCGAGGTGTCTTCAGAGGGAAGGAGAGGAAAAACCGGACACGACACAAGGGTTGTACGAGACCCTGACAGGTGGGGGTTGTTTGTCTTTAGGAGGGGCGCGGACATCGGAGCCCGAGGTCGTGTTAATGCTTCCTTATTATTGCACATGATACGAGGGTAGGAAGTTTTGTTCCTGTCGCAAAGAGGATGTGAATTAAAGAAAGATTGCCCTAAATTACAGACATGAACAAAGCTGCAGTATCCCCTTGGATGGCTTTGTTTATGTGACTAAGTGCTGAGTGAAATTGTGCTAAAACAGCCCCTAATTTAGACCAATCTTTCTCATTTTGCTTTATTCCCGCAGAATCTTGGGGTGGGGAGGATTTGGTGAGGAGAGAGCGGACCTGAACTACAGCAGCCATGTCTATGCACACAACTCCTCGTGCCTCATCTGCCCATGGGACAACTGACACACAGTGCTCCAAAAACAGGCGGAGTTTCTAGGATGATGCACCACCAGAAACGTGGTGTAAGTTAAAGTCTGCTTGGACATTGTCCTCCAGCGCTGCGGCGCCACCGCGCTCAGCTCAGCTACGGAACGGTTTTCACTCACAAGGACAATGGATGGCACTTCTAGGTAAGGAAAAGTTCCACACGTGCGTTTCCACCCACCTCTAGTGCAAATGGAAAATGGGTGAAGAGCTCCCTGCTCTGGTGCTATTCTGCTCTCTGCACCGCACACATTCCTCAGGGTTGGAAAAGCACCGCGGCCCCTCCTGGCGCGGGAGCCCCACGGCGCTCACAGTGAAGAGCTTACGAGCGAGTTTTGAGCGGCTCCAGGCAAACCAGCCCTGAGCCCCTTCCTCAAAACCACCACAACTGAAACAGAACAAAACTAAAGTCATGTTGTCACTGCCACCTCCTGGTTCTGCAACCACGGTCACCACGTCGACCGAGAGGGATGCGGGGTTGTGTGAACGCGGAAAAGGGATACTTCAGCTCTTTATTGGAAAGATTTGTTGTACAAATTTTCACCACCACTAAGATACACGATAAAAATACAAAACACAGGTCACAGACTGAATCTCAGTATCAACAGTTAATAAATACAATGAGATACTTCTCTATTAGCCTAATATTTTACACTGTCACCAGATAGACGATCAAGGTACGAGATACAGAACACTTAGATACCGTTAGAGAGGGATTATTGCTTACGTCAGCAAGCAGCAGATAAGGGCACAGGAGTTTGAACTGAAGGAACTACTTCCTATCACCAGTGGCATTAAGAGAAAACACTGCATTTCACAAGCACTGCTTTTTGTCTAGTGTGTAGAATCAAGAGCAGCATAATCAGACCAATAACCACTACTTTTAATATTATAGAACTTTAAAGGACTTACCTTACAAATGGTTCCTATCTACTCTATAAATATGCAGTTAGTGAAGAAATGAACACTTGCTCTATCTATACAATGGTTTTACCTGACCACACTGCAACTATGATGGTGGATTTTTTTTTTTTTCTCCTAGCAAGATAAATGGGATGAGTCGCAGAATTACCATTTATGAATCCACACCTAAAAAAGCTAGATCCTTCCCAAAACAGCACACATGCAGTCCAGTGCTCTTCAACTGCTCCTGCAGACTGGGAAGAAGTTTTATCATCCGTGATGGGTTTGCATTCTAATTTACTCACATCAAGAATTGCACTTACACCACCTTTCTCTCTGGAACATGACAGCTAAAGATGGACTTTCAGTGAGTCATTATTACTGTGAATAATTTAAAACAAAGGCACCGCAGAGATGCCCCAGAGTTGCATATTTTACCATTTCATGGTTTCTCAAATTTCCTCGGTAAATCTGACTTGGAACAGAAGCTGCAGCTAAAGAGAACGTTGACAACAGCTAAGGCAGAATAAGATGGCAGATAAGAGCCAATGATCCCATAAGATTAAAACAAAGTTTGAAAAAGATCAAAGGAATCTAAAGCCACACTCCAACTCCTGGTTGCTCACAAAGCCTTTTGCTGTTCATCAGATTGCTTTTAAAATAGTGCATCAAAGAGAGAAGCAGCGGAAATTGGCAGAATTCAAGCCTCGCCATCTCGCCGTGTTGAATCATTTTCTTGACTACTTAATATTAAAATACTTTGCAAATCCTAGCTAAACACTAATACTGCTATTGTTACTGCTAAAATGATATGAATTGTTCACTAAGTGCCTATGAAGACTTAATTTATTCATACTCCTCCCAATGCATCGCTGTAACAAGGTAGGAACGGGATCTGGACTTAGTGGAGCTGATGGGAATCGGCCGCTTATTCACGTCCCAATTAGCGGCTCCCCTACGGGTGTGACCTCACCTCGGGAGCTGGGAGGGGCTGGTGGCCGCTGCTTATGCAAAGAAGGGCAGCTGAGTTCCTCCCTGGCCCTCCTGGAGCCTGGGGAGCCGGAGCAGAGCCCTGCCCAGGCACTGAATTCCGCCCTCTCCGCTGAAGCCGCAGCGCAGCCCCTGCTCTGCTGCCTCCTCGGCATTTCCATCCCCTTTGGATTGCTGCGGCATCCATCCCTACACACCCTGAGCACACCCCGTGGCAGCCGTGCTGCTGCATCCTTCCTGCTGCCACTGGATGTGAAATGCTGCCTTTGCCACCTGGGAATCCTCACCAGAACCACACAGCTCATCCAACAGCTCCTGATCTGTGCGGGGACACAGGGTGGGACTGGACACCTCCACGGGTTGGGTTCTTTAAGACCTGAGATGAAGTTAAGGTGGGAAGAGGTTGGCTCAAAGCATTAAGCACAATCATGTTCAACTCATTGAGAACAATTTCCTAAACTGAGAAATGAGAAAAATGCCACTAAAAGCACCAGAAAGATACGAAATTCCCTACACTGCACCTCCAGCCATAGGAAATTTTTTCTTTTTAAAACTGCAAGAAAAGTTTTCTTCATACTCTGCATTTTATATTACATGAAAAAAAAAAAAAAGTAAATTATGAGTCTGTACCTCGATGGGAGTCTGAGACCAGAGCAGCAGGAGCTTAGTGTGTCCATTCCTAAGGTACCTGGTAAACCCTGTATGGCTTTTAGTCGTCTACCTGCAAAAGTGGATGTAGTTTTCTAATTCATCTTAACGCTCACCTGGAATAAACAGAAAGCAGAACACGAAAAGAAAAACAAAACCCCAAAGAAAACCCCCACACCTCGACTCTATGGAAACTTCCCCCCGCTCTGAAAGTATTTGGCAGTTCTAACCCAGATCGTTCCTTGAGTATTGCTCCACAGACATTTCTCAGGCAGGTGCAACCTTCTGCGTGTTTAGGGACCGTGCCCTGGCGTTGTCTGTCCACGTGCAGCGGCTGCTGGGCTCTCCCTGCTGGATGTGGCTGGACACTCGTGTGTGCGGGTGGTCGGGCGGCTGCGGCATTGCTGGGGGTGGCACCACCACCAAACTTTGTTAGAGATTGAAACAACTACATTGGTTAATTCCTAGATCTATTTACACAGGGGTTGAGCTTGGCAGGGGACTGGAGTACAGTTCGGAAATGCCCACCTCTTATTCGCTTTCTGATGATGCCAGTTTTATTTTGGGAATGTCTACTTTGGGAGTCTGACAGGGGGAACACGAGGGAGTGGTTACATTTTACAGCATTGATGAAGGTGTGGGTCTGGTATACAATGACTTTGTCTTCGCATCAAACACTCGCTGTAAGAGCCGTGGCTGGGCAGCCTCCGCCACGGGGAGGGTCGGGCCAATGCCCTCCTGCTCCTGCGGCCCCGGGCAGGGAAGGCCAGGCCGGATCCTTCTCCCTGGGAAGGCTCGTGAGCCCAGAGCAGCGTGTGAAACTTTGGTTTGAGCCTGGCTCCTCGCCGCCTCTTCCCGTTGCAGATCCGGAAATGAGGGAACGCAGCTCGTTTTCCCAAGGATTTGAACAGTTCATCTTCCAGCCCCAAGAAGACGGGGGACAAACCCCTGACCCTGTAGATGCCCTGCCCTGCAGCACCCGAACTCAGAGGGGCGGCATCCTGCCCGTCCTCGCTGCGATCACTCCGGCCGCAGCCCGAGGACACGCTGAGCTCCGGGGACTCGCTCTTCACCGGGGAGCTGCTGATCGAACCCGCACTCTTTGGTATGCCAGGACTAAACGCTTGGACTGGTGGCAGACATTTGGCACTCTGAGGTGTACTAGTTTCTGTTTTTGTCAGGTCTAAATAGCCTTGATCATCCATGGGGTTAACGCTGGACCCTATGCTTAAGCTAGTTCTGTCAGTGAAGGAGTCCACTCGTCCTTCATAGCCTAAATCTGCAGGTGCTGAGCACTGGTGCTGGGGCCACGGCCGTTTGCAGTCTCCATGGTTCTCCTTGTCTTCCCCGTTGTCTTCTTGACCACCTTGGAAAGAGTTCTCTGTCCAGTCCGATTCCTCGCTGACCGCGACCGCCGCATTCATGTCCCTGAGAAACACCACGATGACGGTGATGTTGTCGCTGGAGCCGGCATCCCGAGCAGATGCCACCAATTTATGTGCTACCATGCTGCTGTCACCGTTATTTTCCTTCAGATGGTCAGCCACCACTTTGACTGCCTCATCGGGGTTGACTGTGTCGTAGAAGCCATCACAGGCCAGAATGAGGTAGTCTTCAGAGCCATCCAGCACTGTGGAGGCAGAGTCTGCGTCCCCACAGATGTATGGCTTGTGCTCAGCATCTCCTGTGGAAGAGCAGCAGAGAAACACAACTGTGGGTTTGCAGCCACAGCTTCCAGCAGCCCTTTATTAACTCAGTGTGGAGCCAATGACTCTTACCCCAAGTTAAAGCAATTATTTGAAAATTACTCCCTCAGACTGTAGGGGGAAAAATAGAAGTTATTGCTCAGAGGTCTATCTTCAGCTGTATGTCAAATTTTGATGACTAGAAAATTAAAATTTTATAGTTAAAAAGCAAAGCAAGTCTCAAAAAGGAATGAAGGCTCTCTTACCAATAGCTCTGGAGACAGAGAGGCTCCCATTCACCCTCCAGGCTCCAAACCAGACCACGCAGCCACCCAGGGCCTCGATTCGCTTCTTCTCATCCTGAACAGCAACACAAGAGAGGTTTGGGCAGAGCAGTCAGAGCTGCATCACACACTCAACACTCCCATCAATATCTGGATTTTCAGACATGGCAGGCCCCATGAGACAAAGGATTTGCACACAGATCCAAACAAACCAGGGTAAGTGGAACATGCACTGCTGCTCAAGGAGATCCTGGCATGGCAGCGCTCCCCCAACGCTGGTACCTGTGCTGGTCACTGCCCAGGGGTGTTTAGACAGGCCCATCTCACCTCTCGATCTGGTTTGTGGGGTTTCATCAGTTCCACAGCTTGGCCTTTCCTCACAAGCATGACCTGGGAGTCCCCCAGCCAAGCCACATGCAGCATATTCCCTCGGATGAAAGTCACCACCCCGGTGGTTCCACAGCGCAGGCTCTGCAAAAAAAATACATTTCCATTTCAAAGCATTTTCTTACTTAACTCGGGGACAGAACATGTTGAAACTGTAGCACAAAGTCTGTTCCCAGGGAGGAACAGGCAGTGCTTTCCCTACTGCTACGAGTGCTCACTAACAGCCCCTTGGAGCCAACCTGTCTGAACAGGAAGGTGCCCCATGACATCCCTGGCATGGGACCCACCTGCCAGGAGCTGGGCAGTGCTGGGGCTGCTCCTGCTACTGACAGGCACAGCTGTGTGAGCTTAGTGAGCCCAAGGACAGCCTGGTAGGCAGGTGAGTGTGGGAATGCCAGCAGCATCCTTTAGAGGAGCTGGAAGCTGTGAGAAGCAGGAGCTGACATTTTTATGGGATGTGAACCTATGGACAGAAAGCCAGCAGTGGGGACCAGTGCATGGACAGCTCTGTGCTGATTCTACTGTGCCTGGAGCCCCCCTCTGAAGAGGCAGGATTCAATGAATGCTTCCAGAGTCCCTCACCTCCCTGGCTGCCTTCTGCACAAAGCGCTCGTCGGTCACGCGGAAGGCTCGGCACAGAGCCTCGGCTGGGTCGTGCTGGAACATCTCCTGGTGGACCATGTTCACGTGCAGGTGGATGGAGGCATAGATGGCAGCATCCACTCCTCCATGACCATCAAACACTGCAAAATAAGCTTGTTCTTCTTGGTCCTGCCAGTGGAAACACAGGGAGGAAAAATCTCAGGTGAAAGCTACACAAACAGCTCATTGGATTGTCTGAAAGCTTTGAACTGGGATCTGTGCTGTCCTCATTAAATTGCAATTAAAGACAGAATTTCCACTGGAAAAGCAAACTACCCTGACCACCTGCACTTGCATCAATGGGAAATTCGCACCTTGTTGTTGAATTCTACCTGCAAAGTGCAAGAGATGCCTTGCCAGAATCCCCTGTGAAGTGCTCTCAGTGCTCCTTAGGTCCCATTTGTTACAGCTCAGTCACACAACTCAAATAGGAAGTGCCATTCTCATCAAATTGTGCAAGAGATTTTGTGACTGCAAAAACCACAGAGAGAGAAGAACATCCAATACAGTTTGCATGAAGCCTACATCATGATTGGAATCCACCAGGGATAAAATGCCAGTAGTGTTAAAATGTGAAGCCAGCCAGCCTCTGCTTTCACTCTTCTTTTTTTCCTTAAATCTAAAACATATCATCTTAAATGCCTGTGTTTTAAAAAAACTGCATGTGCTCTCTCATCAGAAAATTGTGATTACATTCACAAATCAAATACAGCAAAATCACTCATCTTGAAGGCAGTTTTCTCAGCTTCCTCTCCTCTGTTCAGAGAAACAACGTGGTACCAGGAGACAGCAACTCCTGTGCCTATTCACACACACAACACCAACCCACTGACAGAGCCAATTCAACCTTGACAGCCAGCTCAGTGACTGGAATATTTGCACATTGTAATTTTTAGGTAATGGGCTCCAACACAAATTGGAATAAAAAAGCTGACAATTGACAGGCAAAGGAAACATCTGCCTCTGTTTGCATTAATATCATTTAAAGGTAAGAATGTGGATGGGGCAGAAGATTGTTATTAAAGTGACAGGGTATAATAAAGAAGAAATTATGCAGCAATTTGATCCTTAAGGTAAAATTATTGCCATTTTCTTTTACTTTCCGTTCCTCAGTGTCCAGTTTTATATCTTAAGGGAGAGCAAGAACGAGTGTTTGACCAATGGCCACATCAAGAAATTAATGGAAGACAAGCTTTAGTTCCACCAAACTACTCACATTTCTGGAAGTGTGTGAGCTGCACCCCATGGTTCTGTAAGTTCTGGGTTTGTTTTGGGTTTTTTACTTAATTTCCTTATTTTTGCTTTTGGCTTCTTCCTCCCAAGAGGAAGGATTGAAAAGCAGAGCAGACCCACCCCCACTGCCCAGTGCCTTCAGAGATGAAGTGTGAGATGACCTGGTGAACACCAGCTGCCAACCCTCCTCAGCTCCATCACCTTTCACTTCCTCGGTGGAAAACCTCCTGCTTTCCCAGGATGGAACCCAGTGATGACAGAATCTGTGTCTCCCACGTGCTCTGTGCTCACCTCGAGGTTGAAGAGCATGTTGAAGTCAGGGATGCAGACGTGCTTGTCCTCCATCTTCCTGCGCATGTTCTTGATGGCGTGGATGGAGGTCTCGTAGTAGCGGTGGGGCTTGGGCTGCAGGGGGAAATCTTTCACCCAGTTGCTGCAGATCTCGTGCAGTTTGCTGTAAACTAAACGGGCCAACTTCACCGTTTCGATCTCTGGGGAAGGCACAAACCACAAATGAAAGCCTTGAGAGTGTTATTAAGTCAGAGTTTTCTCCCTTGCATACATTAGAAAGATGAAACAAAACCATTTTAGCCAAGCAGTTGATGTCAGCAGGGAAATTCTGGGCTCTGATGCATGAAAAGAGGGAGCCAAACTCACCATAATCAGCATTCATCAGTAAGCAGCTCATTGTTTGTTTGTCTTTTTAACTTAAACATTTCCCTGTGCCTTTGGGGAGCTCATTTGCAGCAGCAGAGAAAATGAAAGGCACAAAAGTGTTGGATCCCTGGCGTGGCCCTGCCCAGAGTGGTGCAGCTCTGACTGTGTCATAGCACGGGGCGCCACCTACAAAACCCACCCTCTGTGACAATGACACACTGAGTTTGGACCAAATTCTCTATTCTAAACATCATTTCATTGCAGAGCTGAGGCAAGACAGTGGAAAAAATCTGCAGAAATTAGTAGAGCCATTTTAAGATGTTTTGTGCACTTTCAGCAGTGCACAGGTGCCTTCTTAGCTATTTCCAGATTTCCTATTATTCCTGTATTCCTGACAACAGCGTATCAGAGAAATCTGTGTGAGCAAATGAGAAATCCATAAAGGCCTCAAATTTAAGAAAATGCTGAACTGTCACTCCTGAGAAACTGTCATTTTAAAATGTGAAAACTCAGGCACTTGACATTTGTTCTGAAATTCAGGAGAGGAAAACAGGAAGTCAGCATCAGAGCCGAACACATCGAAATCTCTTTGTTCATGATCGCTCACCAAAGCCAGGGATCTTCAAAGCTAAACAGCAGCAATCCAGGAGTGCCAATCACTCCTGGAGGAGGAGGGGCTCAAATGCAGGGAGGAGGGGGAAAGTTGCAGCATCTCTTGGTTCACAGGAATTCTGTGAAGAGCCTAAAAAGCAGCATTTACAAATTTCTGTCCTAGGTCTACAGGGACAGGACACCAAGACCCTTAGGAAGAAGATACTATCCCAGCTCTGTTGATTATGAGTTGGTTCAATCAAGAGGCATTAAGCTGAAAATACACTAGATAAATAACCAAAAGGAACCTTGGCTCCTTGATCACACAGCTTTAGAACCAAGGGGTGGAAATCAAACAACTGGGTCATCCCACCACTGCCACAGTGTGAGTGTGGGGCTTCCTCACCCCACCCGTACTGCTCTCACTGGGGCCGCCAGAAATCTCTTTGGGTAATGTATTTCGAGAGGGAACACGTCCAACCTGAGGTGTCCAAGTTCTGTTTTCCAGAGGAAAGGCCACAGATTCTGCTCTCCCATTTGTCCCCACGGGGCAGGGGTGAAGTGGGCACACGGCAGAGTCATGTGGCTGTGGCACCTCTGCAGAAGGATGGCAGTGAACCCTGCTGAGATCCTCACCACCCTTCCCAGGGCACCATGTGTGGTGTCAGCATCATCAGTAACTGCTCGTGAGGTTAAAACAAGAGAATAATAAAATACCACAATAAAAACCACCCCCTCACAGCTGGAAATTACTCATCAATTGTTAATGTTGCCGTGCTGAGCCAGAGCTGACTCAGCTGACACTGCGGTTGTGTCACGGAGAATTTCATTTCCCTCCTGCTGTTCCCAAATCCCCAAGGCTGGAAGTAATGCTGAGCTGCACCACAGCTAGTGGGAAACCCAGCTCAGGCATTGCTGTTCCCAAAGATGACAGGGCAGAATGAGAGTAGAAAGAATACCAAGAATCAGATCCTGCTTTTTAGTGCCATATTTTATAAGTTGTGTTGAAAACATGGCCAGTGTGACAACAGGGGTCAGAACCAAGACCAAGGTTTTCCTTAATTTAGGAACTCTAGATGTCTTTGGAGATCTCCAGGATCCATCTCCTAGAACCTGGAACAACTGGGCAATGGGACATGATGATGTGCTTTGTGACATCTCCTGCAAATTTGATACCACCACCAGGTCCTGCTATCCAGCCTCCTTTGGTGCTTCCTTAGCAATGCCAAACTTCCACGTGATTTTCTTCCTCCACAAACAAACCCCAAACCCAAATGTCCTTAACCTGACCTTTCAAAAAAGAAATCCAGCATCATTCAGTTCACATGGAAAATCTCTTGCTCCTCTCCAGTGCAGCTGGAAGAGAGGAGTCATGGCCTGTGACTCAGATATCCAAAAACACATGGTCACCCCAAATATAACAGACCCCTGTTCTTGCAATCCTACATGTGTGGACTCCAGCCAGTTTCTTTTTTTATGATTTGCATTCTTCTGTCATGGAGTTTCTCATTTCTTTCCAGAAGCACACCAAGAACTACTTTCACCACTCCTAAGTACAGGACATGATCTGTCACGTTACAATTCTCAGAGTGAAATGTGCCACTAAGGAAATATGAAATAGCTTTTTTTTTTTTTTTTCTTCCAGCAAATTCAAACTTGAGGCAAATCAGGTAAATGTCTCCTTGTATTACACAGAGTAAAAATCTTTCTGGGTTCATAAAAAGCTGGCATAGAAATGGATATTAAAGCCAGGCAGTGAAGTTTAGTTTGGTTTCACATTCTGCAGCAGCTCAAACAGCATCAGGGCACGGTGAACTCTGAGCATCATACTTGAAGATGTAGAAATCCCATTTTCACCAGCTGCCACACTTTCCTCTGCTTTCTTCCAGAGCATTAAAGTGTCCCTGTCCAGCACCACTGAGGGCAGATCTCTCAGCACCCACCCCAGGCTCCTCAGGGACTCCCCTGGAAGGGTCTCTAGGATGGAGCTGCTGCTGCCACCAGTTTTGTTCAGGTTTTCCAGGCCAAACCTTGCACTTGTGGCTGATGAAGCACTGATGGAGCACAGGATGCCCAGAGGAGTTGTGGCTGCCTCTGGATCCCTGGAAGTGTCCAAAGCCAGGTTGGATGGGCCTTGGAGCAACCTGGGATAGTGGGAGGTGCTCCTGCCCATGGCAGGGTGTGGGACCCTTTAATCAATCTTTAATGTCACAAACCATTCTGTGATTCTGTCATCCTATGACACTTGAGCTGATGTTCTGTTTTGGAAAATTATCACTTAGATTATTTGAAATTGCAAGGTTTGTATGAAGGTGTTGCTTTACTACAGGCCAGAGGATGTTTTCTCTCTTCCTCTCCCCCTAAACCCTCACAATTTAACACTTCACACTACATCAGCAAAGGGATATTTTATTTCCAAATACCCCCATTATGACAATTCACCTCAATAAACTGCATCTGGAACCCTTTTCTTAGTGCCTGCTCCAGTCTGCTCCCATCTCAATCTATGTTTGCATCTGTGTCTTACAGCCTTAGATATATTTAAATGGCAATTTCTGTAGGTGTGAGGGTTTTGTGGTGGTTTTTTCCTTTCTTTTTTCCTTTTTTGATGAATTCTGTAGATATTCTGTGTGGAGGCTTAGTCAACATTTCCTTGGAGACTGTCAAATATTTATGCAAGTTTCAGAGATCTCAATTTGAAATTAATGAAGGCTGCTCAGCCAGAACAATGACAAATCTATTCCATTTACCTGCTCAGCAGGAGGAGGCAGCAATACCTACTGAAAGGGAACCCAGAGCATGTTTTTCTGTTTCTCAGGTTTCCAAGGGCTTCTGGAGAACACAGCAAAATCTTTCTTTTGAAGAGCCAGATTTATAGATCTTCCTTATCCCCAGAATAATTTACAGGATTTTTTTTTTAATCAAAAAAGGAGGGAATGGATGAAGTGGTTTGGGGACTGTATTTTCAAGATTAAATGACAGAATTCCTGTCAATACATGTGAGAAACATTGGTCTTTGTTGTAATGAACAATCCAGCCAATTTTCAAGGTTATTTAGGCCAGCAGAGCCCTGAAATGAGTTAGGGTGGATGACCTTGAGCTGAAGCTGCAAGAATCTTGTCAGCCAACACAGATAAATGAGGAAAAGGGATTTTCTTCCTTTTAATCACAAAATCTCTTTATACTACCTTTTCCTAAAACCATTTAAAAAACTTACAAGCCATAGTAAAAACCACACTGACTGAAATAATTCAGAATTAAATTATCTCTTCCCACATATATTTGACTTTGCTCCAAGGATGAGGGAGGACAACTGGCACTTGCCAGCAGAACCACATTGTATAAAGTGCTGAGAGAGAGATTCAGGGCCATCAGACACAGCCATGAAAATGCACTTAAAAGAGTGATTGCAGAGGTGAGAAAGCTTTGACAGAGAAATTAGACCTCCAGCTCTATCAGCAGTGGTGGTGAGCTCCCTGTTAACCTTTTCACAGCCCCGTGGGATGTTCCTCTCCCAGAATTCCAGTCCAGCTTCCTTTAGGTGGCACTTACGGATGATGCCGTCGGCGTTGTCCACGCGCTTGGGCAGGAAATGCGCCGAGAGGTCGCTCTGCAGCACTTCATCTGAAGTTGCTCTGGCTAAAGCAGAGGCCAGGAAAGAAGGGCAATTACTGGAAAAGAAAAAGAGAAACCCACAGGAAGATGTTTTAGTGTGATTCAGCAAGGTGACAAGAGTGTATTTTTCACCAAAGTTCTTCTTTGCCATTCAGCACCACAGCCCTGAAGCAAGACCTCAGACTCACTGATGGCTTTTAGTTGCCCTCTTGCACTCCTCTGTTCCCTGTTTCTTAAGTTTTAATGTTTCAGTTCATAACCTCTATTTAAATTCTTTTCAAATCTAGGCTTGAACCCTCCAGAGTCTGTCACACAACTACATTTTTTACATATGTCTGGTACAATTTTAACTCAAGTCCTGTTTCTCCTAAGATTTGGAGTCAGGGTTCCAGAATTCCTCAGATTTCAGTGTCCAAAGCCTCTCTAAGGGGCACTGGAAGTTAAGGTTAACCCACAGGGAGCTGATGCACATAAGGTAAAAAAGCTCCTTAGGAATGATTTCTACCCAGAGTGAAGTGGCTTTAACTCACTATAGTTTAATTAAACCTGGTATCCCCAAAAGGTTAATTAATCTATAGCAAGCCAAGGCCACTTTAATGTACATTCTCTGATTCAAGAGGAATTTAATACTTCTTAATTTATCTATGACTTTACATTTCCCATTGGTCAGCCTCAACTTCTCCAGGTGTTTCCTGCTGACACAGCCTGAAACTTCCAATTTCCACAGATAATATTGGGGTAATGGTGTTTATCCCAAATTAAATGGTGTTTATTCCACTATCACAGGGTCACTGAGAGACACAGAGCCAATTGCAGTCCAGAAACGAACCATCAACCACAGAATTCCAAGTCAGAAATCCAAGGAATAAACACAAACACTTCCTAAACCTGTTTATTTGGTTCAACATAACCTATAAATGATTAAAAGATAAAATTAGCAATAAATAGCTTTGTCCAACATTGTTATGAGACAAAGAAGTCACACAGGGAGCCACTCACACCTCCTTAGGGTCCCATCCAACCTGAGGATTTCCCTGGAATTCCCAGGTGGGCACTGGGCTCCTGCAGCACATCCAGGGAGCTCCTCTGCTGGGGAAAATCAGCTGCCTTAGGGCCGGCTCTCCCCAGCTCAGCTCAGGGCTCTGATCCTATTTAGCTCCAGTTCCCGCTGTAGGAGCGATCAGCCGGAGGAAAACACAGCAGGACATCCCTTGCTTCTGGCACGTGGAGGAGCTGATTTTCTGTCTCGTCTTTTCTGTCTTTATTTAGCTCACAAAGAGCAGGTTTTTCATGTGGTGATGCTGCTTCTGCTCATGTTACATGAGATTCCCCCAAAAAGGGAGATTGCAATGCCCGGGATACAATAATTATTCCAGCAGTTACCAGCAGGGCACCCGCAGGAATCTGAGCTTGTTTCCAGTCCAAGGCTTCCCCTGACCAGCTCGGTGCTGAAACTCTTCAGAAAAACCAAACTTGTTTTGTGTCACTTAGAAAGAACCCCCCAGGAGCATCCACTGATGATGGCAAAGAGGGAACCTGGTTAAGAACTGGGGCAACAACAGTGGCTAAAATAGACTCAGGACCTAAACAGCAAATTAAAAATATCCCAGAAAGGAGGAATTTCTGCTCTGTCTGGGCCTGGGAGGGGAGACAGTAATGTCTGTGGATACCCAGAGCCAAAAACCCTTGTATATGAAATTTTAGATATTATTTTAACTTCAGAGACCAATGACACAAGTGAAAGGTGCATTTACAGGGGGTGTAGCAGGTCAGAGTATTTCCGTCCCCAGCTCCAAGTGCTGTTCACATGTCCTCACAGCCAGAGCCAGCAGTTCCACACAGCAGTTCTTTATCCAGCCAAAGAATACATTTCCATTACAATGCTAAACCTACACAGAAAGCTGCTAAAGATGTTATTAGATAAATTAGAGGATTTTAAGTACATCCTTCCTGATTCTCTGGCAGCGTAGGTGTGTTTAGAACACCCACAGTTGCATTGCAGCAGTCCTGGAATAACTCTGGGAAGGTATTAAATCAAGCCTAAAAGTGCTTTGTTTCCATCAATTAAGTTTGAGAAAACCAGTCTGAGGTGGGTTTAGTTCAGCCCACATATTATTATGTTACCAGCTTAACACACAACTCCTCTCCATCCTGATAGCATTAAAGTGGGGAGGACTTCCTAAACGCCTTCCCTGAGCTGTTCCTCTGTGCTCAAAATCCAATACAAACTCTTCTACTGAAAAAAATAAAAGAGATGGCAAATTTAAAATTCTTATTGCATGCGAGTTCACCGCTGGGGTTTGAGCAACTGATCAATTTTGAGGGGAAAGGTAGAAAAAATAAATCAGCTGAAGGTTTTCCTTCTATGTCTGGCCACTCTTTGTCCTAATAATAACAACTGCTGGCTGAAGAATTAATTGCCCTTGACATTTGTTGATCACAAAGCTTCTTATGTGGCTGTTTCTGGGCTGTGCCGTGTGAGCAGGGAAGTGCCCACATGCAGACAGATGACTTCCTCTTCCTGATTAGCACTACAACATTTACTTCTCTCACTTGGCTCCTCAGAACACTTTTAGTTGAAATTACTTTTTCCCTTCAAGGAACAGCAGATTGCACTGGAAGTTTAAAATAGTTGTTGAAGGCAAACTGCTCTTGAGGACATTTCATTACTGCTACACCAAGACAAAGGAAGAGTCAGCTCTGGGATCTCTCTTTTTAGCACTCAGGTGAGCAGCACCAGCATCCCACAAACAGCAATCCAAGGAGGGCAGTTCTGTCCTCTCTTCTCAAAACCCAAAAGGCATCACCAGGATCCCTGGGGACAAGGGAGGAGCTTCCACCCTGCTGCTGGTGTAACCTGCTGGCTGCTGAAATGAAATTCCTCTGCCTCATTCTAGATGCTCAAATGTTATTAGTCATGAAGTTTGACAAATTGAAACTGGGAGGGCACGGTCTTGTTTAGCAGAGAGCTGAGAGCTAAAATGCCTTTGTCTATTCATAGCTGTGCCACTAA